TAAAGGTAAAGGTTTCCCCTTTCCAGTCAAATCTGACTTGAGGGGGTGGTGCTCAAATCTATTTCTTAGCCAAGGGAACCAGCATTGTCTGAAGACACTTCCGTGGTCATGTAGCCATCATAGCTGTAGGCCAAGGCACACGGAGCATTGTTATCTTCCCACCAAAGTGATACCTATTTATCTACTCAAATTTCCATGTTTTTGAACTGCTAGGTGGGCAGGAGTTGCGGCAAGTAACTGGAGCTCACCTCATTGCGTGGCACTCAAGTTTTGAACCTGGGTTGTCAGCCTTCCAGCTGACAGGCTTAGCATCTTTAACCACTGAGCCATTGTACCTCCATATTTTTATAGTCGTTCTGGTAATATAGAAACTGTAGTTCATAAACTATGTTCTTTTTCTAGATTCAGTTCTTAGCATCTCCAGTTAGAAAGGCTGAGGAAAACTCCATTTTCTGGAGATTGTGGAAAATTTCTGCCAATCAGAATGGACAAATCAGGGCAGTGTTGGCGCATAGTTAATCATATTAAGTGGCCTCATATGTTCACTGCAATTTTTAATGTTTAAAAAAGATGGAAATGTTTCGAATGCGTCCCAAGGTTACACTTATTTCTTACAAGCACCTGTTTGTACCTATGGATAAGGCAAACACATCAGCAGACCAGTTAATGCAGTTATGTGCATTGGGTCCTGTATATCAAGCTACTTATATCTGTATTTCTCTCCTCTTGTTGTTGTTGAATGGATATAACTGAATGCTGGAATACTGACTGTTGTGCTCTTTTTTTCCTTTCTTTCTTCTTCTTTTCTTCTGTCTTCAGTAGAGCATGCGCCATTTTGAACATGAATTCTCGGTAAAGTAATCCGATATTGATGTCCTTTTTAAAAAAACGATATTTCAGAGTATGAGAATATTAATGCTGAAAGGAAAAATATGAAACATTGATTTAAACAATTTTTTGAATTATGTTAAAAGCCAGAACATTTTCCCTACTAACTTCCCTGAATCAAAGTTGCACCTGCATTTTTAAACAATTTTTTTTTCTTTGGAGAAAACATTTTATTAACTCCTCCTTAGGTTTGTCAGTATTAGGATTATCCAATATTCAATCAATTTGAAGGAGATGCTTTCTTCAAATAAATATATAAGCAAACAATACGTATACACTGCTAACATTTTAAAAATGTTTTTCCCTAGCCAATTGTAAAACAAAAGAGGAGCTGAGGAAATTACAGCAAAAAAGAAACTGGAAGAAACCATCCAAGAAGCCTTTCATCTAAGTCAGGGGTCTCCAAACTTGGCAACTTTAAGATTTGTGGGCTTCAACTCCCAGAATAGCTGGCTGGAGAATTTTGGGAGTTGAAGTCCACAAGTCTTAAAGTTGTCAAGTTTGGAGACCTCTGCTCTAAATTGTTAAACTTTTTAAAAGATTAATCCAATATTATAAAATTATAACATGTCAGAAATAAAGATGGAGGACCAGGTTTCAGGGATAACTCAGTATATTTTGGTGTTTTACAGAGAAAAGGTAAATCGTACCACACTATAGTAAAAAGGTCTGTAAATGATTAAGAACTTTCCATAGTGTAGTGAAATGAGTAAGCAATGCTGGGTAAAAAGCTGCCTTAACTGTACTAGGTCATTTTAACCTAATTTAACCCATCAGAGTATGTCTGATTCTTCCATAGAAGTTAATAAATTTTAGTGAATGTACCAATAGCAGAGTGACATTTGGGAAGTTCTTATCAGCTACGTAAGTTACTTCTTGAAGGAATACAAAATATTCACTAATGAAGGGATATAGGGACATTGGAAGTATGCCCATCTATTTTAGCCCTACCAACTATGTAGCAAATAACGATTTGCAGTTTTAAACCTTTTTTAAATAGATCTAGGCTGAATTATTGATGTTTTTAATGTCTTTATGAAATAACTGGGCTAATAAATAATTGAAAATGCTGCTTAAGTACATTCTCTCTGTGTCTAGAAAAATATTTTAGATGAAATGGTAGCTAGGAATAGCAGATGACACAACCTATTTAGCAGCCTGAGCAATTCATTTATTTACATGAGCATTATGTAACGAGAGAACATCCAGGTACTTCCAGCTGCCATGTTCATGTAAACATACTGTTTGCTGGTATTGCAGGAGTTATGTAAGATACTTGGGGGAATATTTTTGCTGTAGGGCTGGGTTTCCACAGGAAGGCAATTTACATCTTTGAAAACAAGAGAGGTGCTCTTTTGTTAAGGAAAGAAGGGCATAGATTTAAAGGAGCTAAACATCAAACATAGTTTCTGGGATGATATGTTAGGGACAATGGAGCACTGTTAGCTTTTGGGAGTTTTTGTTTTGCAGGGGGTGCTTTTATAAAAAATATCACATGTGATAAGGTTGTGCTGCTCAGTGCTGGTGAAGCCATGGCAACTTTTGTTTCTGACAGGAACTCCATGCACAGTTTACTAGTGAAATGGTCAAATTTGCTAACGGGAAGCATAGCAACAGAATGTCACTAGAGGTAATAGCTTGGGGTCCCTCAGCTGTTTTGATTTTTCACTTGAAAAACGCCACTCAGATTTTGGGCTGGGAAAAAACTGTCCTTGGAATAAAATCAGGGTTAGTAAAGGAAACATCTGTGTAAGACCAAAGTTAAAAACTGTAGTTGCCCCAATAACTTCATCATATAACTGGAAAGTGATGGAAAATTCATTGGACTGTTATTTGTAACCAGTATAACTTGGCGCTGAGTTCCAATTCATATTCTTTTGGATTTCTACCCTGAGCATCCTATACACCAGTCAACTTTTACTGCAGCATTTACTTCTTCCTATTTAGTTTGTCCTAACAACACAGAATTCACACACTAATAATTATCAGCAAGAGCTTCACATTGATAAAGCTTATTTACCTGAGGTTGCACTTCAAAATCCTCTTTTTAAAAAGATGGAGTCACTGACCATTCTCAGCAGGTTCATCAAATTAGGCTCATGTAACAGAAGAGTTACTGCAGTTGGGATGATGAGCACCTAAATACAGTGCTGATTTACCAGGCCTGCTTCAAAGTCTATTGGCAGGAGTTAGCCTCTCTACTGAGGAACATTTTAAAAGATATTTTATCCTGCTTTTATTTATTTTTATAAATAACTCAAGGCTGCAAACATGCCTAATATTCCTTCCTCTACCTATTTTCCCTATAACAACAACCCTGTAAAGTGTGTTTGGCTGAGAGAGAGAGAGAGAGATTTCCCCAAGTTACCCAGGCAGCTTTCGTGCAAAAGGTGAGACTAGCCTGATGTCTTAAGCACTTGAGCCTGCCATTATAATGCCTTAGAAAGAGCCACTTTGAAAAAGAATGGATCTATAGGAAACTCCTTTACTTAATCTGTCCACCCTGGAATATTTTTCTATTCTCATGTTTAGGAGAATATAACTGATAGATTTTCTCCCCAGATTTCTATTGTTAATAAATAATACGGACTTACTGTACATGAGAAAATAAAAACATTTTTTTTATTTTCTCGTGAAGGTAATTAATCTTTCATTCATTAAAAGTCCTAAAGCTTTGATATTATACTTGAATAATATTGCTTTTCTGAGCAATGGAACTGCATTTTAAAGTTCATTCTGAAAATTACTAGGCCCATATTCCCAAACTGAGACAAAGATTCATAGATTTGAACATGTTACACATGGGAAACAGTTTTCTATAAAAATTATTTTGGAATAAATCCTCTCAGTATTTCTCAACTTGAATAACTTTAAGATGTATCAATTTGTAGAATTCTTAAAAGAATTGTGTTGCAGTTGAAAAACACTGCCCTAAATCAGATATAAATCATATATAATGTTCATATTTTTCCTTACAACAAGGAAAGAGTCACTTGATAGTGAGATTGGTGGCAATTCAATTTAATTTAATTTTTGTAAGAACTGACTAATGGGTTTATGGAGAAAAAAATGCCAATTTTAATACAGGAATATGTGCTTTTATTAATCAGATAAGTTATAAATACAGTTAATAGTAGTTTACTTAGCCTTAAGCAAATATCTACTTAAAATTGGAAACTGAACAAGTTAGCTTATCAAATAGTATTAAAGTACCCTAAAACTTGGTATCTATAATGTAAACCATCTTATAGCTTAGCTTTTCTGCCTAAGAATGGGATCAGGTGTGAAATTCCTCCTTCAGTGATGAAAGTTTATGAACACTTTTTGAGATCTATAATCAAACAATACTGTAATCTACATATGATCAGTCAGAAACTAGTGAGAGAATAAGGAATTCTGAATTGTGGTAGCAAATTTTACAGGAGAATGTCAAAATAACTGTCTATGAGGTGAAGATTTAAAAAAACAGGACACATATCCTAAATAAATACATCTACAATAGAATGGCTGAAGCCATTCATATATTTGAATGGGTGGTCAAAGCCCTGAACTTAACTCAATTGAAATGTAGGACAAGTGAAGTGAACAATTCATGCCTGACAGTCAAATAATACCGATTAGTTGACCGCTTAAAAAAAAAAAGGGATGGACTACTAAAATACTTCCAAGAAATATGTGGATTGATCAACAGGTACAGAAATGTTTGCATTGAACATTGCTAAAGAAGATGCCACCAAAGACTGGACAGAGTTTTGGGTATTGCTTAACCAGAATATTTTCTCTCTTAATAGGGCTCAGAAGCAGCTTTTGACAACATTGTAGATTATACTACTGCATGATTACAGATGGTTCTAAAGAGTTCACAAAACTTTCACCATATTAAGGGTTGTCAGTCCTTAATTGTACAGAATGTTGATTTTTTTAAAAAAATACCTGCACTTTTTTGCATTATGTCATTACTCCTTATTTTAAACCTTCTTTACTTTTACATTGTATGATTTTCTACCTCTGTGTGTGTGTATTGAGCTTCTCCAGATCATACTTGTTATCCCTCATTTTGCCAGCAGCATTTCCTTCTAGTTCAACTCTTTAACTTTCTTTCTTTCTGGCAGGTGCCTCAGCAATTCCTTCACCACCAGCAGCTCCTGGTCCTCCTCCTAACTTGGATGTGCCAACCCCCCCTCAGCTGCAGCCTGTCAACAGCACAAGCAGGAGCACCTTGCTCAGTTCCATTCAGAATTTCCAGAAAGCAGCTTTGAAAAAAACAGAAACCTGTGACCACAGTACTCCCAGAATCAGCTGAAGTTGTTTACAAATCAAATTGGATATATTTTCTATTTCTGTTCTCAGAACCAGTCTTTTCCACTAACAATTTGATCTAGCCACTCTTTTGTTTAGAGTCGTTTCAAACTTTTCCCCCTGAAGTAATATAATTGAATAACTATGATCAGAGTGTCTTTGGCTGTGTTGAAGGGTGAAAAGATCCCATTTAGAGATTTCTTTTGTGGAATCTTCCTTGGGGCAGATATTTTTTTTTCTGATAGTGACCATTTATATTCTGAGGCTTGCTTTCCAAATAGATTGAACTATAAACCCTGGCCCATTGGCGTTAGCTGTACTAAATACCAAGTTACTTCAGCTATGTTGAGAAATATGGCAATGCTGAGATTTTATTTATTTATTTTTGTCCTGCAAAATGCAGGTAATCCATGGATTATTCAACATTCAGAAGTACAGCTCCCAATACAACTCAATTTAGAAAGAACAGAGGGCATTAAATTATGATGCCATTAGACTTGGGGTTAAATTGGGTATCAAGCTACTTATATATGCAGAGTTTCCATTATTTCAAATTTAACCTCAATGTATGATTTATTATTGGGCTGGGTGTTTAAAAAAACCTACATAACTTTAATGTTTTAGTGAAAAAATGTCATTTTTCTGATTTGTTGAAAATCTTAAATTGCACTTTAAGGATTATTAGTAATCCATTTTTAAAGTCAAATATGTGTCAGTGTTTGTTCCTATACAGACAATGTCATTGTGTAGAAGAGTTCATGTAGTCTGAAATATACTCATATTTTTATTAAACGGTCAATAGAATTTCATTGATGTTGGAAGAAAATAAATCTGCTTAATCTTTCAGTAGTACTGCTACACATGGTAAAACATAAATGCCTTGAAAATCTGAAAGTCCAGTTGCTGAGCGTAGCAACCCTATATCCATTAAGCTAAGATGGGGAAAGATCTTGGTTACAGCTAATGTACCTAAAATGATCTTCAGCTTAGAGCAGTGATGGTGAACCTATCATGTGTGTCAAAGGTGACGTGCCATTTTTTTGGGTGGCATGCCGGCATTCACCAACATTCAACATCTATTCTTGAAACTACTTCTCATTCTCATACGATTTTTGAAGGCTGCAGATGCCACACAGAAACAGGGTGTTCTCTTGCGCAGCCTCTGCAAATTGCATGAGAATGGATATGCTTTTGTGTGGTTTTAGGCAGCTGCATAGCCGTGGAAGAGCATTCTCCAAAATTACTTAAAAAACAGGCCCACCCTCCATACTGCCACTGAATGCCATGGTCCAAATTGGCCTAGATTGGGGTGATGGTGGAAGAAGAGAATTGTTTCTCTTTTGTTTGGGGAGGTGTGTGTGAGACACGCCAGAAAAGTCATTAGGCATTTTCCAAATTTTTGACATGCCAGCCCCAAAGGTTCAACATCAGTAGCTTACAGCAGAGGTCCCCAACCTCTGGGCCGTGGCCCACAAGTGGCCATGAGGTGTTTGGAATCAGGTCATTGAAACAGGTGAGCACACACATGCATCCCCACTTATGTGAGCAGTGGGTGAGCTTACATTCATTCATGCATGCATGCAACAATTGCGTGAACAGCAGGCGCACGTGAATGTTGTTTGCACATATAGAGTTGTGCTCACATGCAAAACCATCCCCTCTTCTTCCCCCTCCCCTCTCCTAGCTGGTCTGCAAGAAAGAATAGCAGGGGGAATGATTGTGCTCTCTGTGATAAAAAGGGAGAAAGGAAGAAATACAACACATAATTTAGTTATTATCTTTATTACAAGCTATATAAGTTACAAAATAAGCACAAGCTAATTCTCAATATAATAGGCTGCTCATCAGAACAAACCTGACCTTGTAGGCCAAGAGTCTTCAAACTTGGCAAGTTTAAGACTTGTGGACTTCAACTGCCAGAATTCCTGAGCTAACAAGACTGGAGGAATTCTGGGAGTTGAAGTCCATAAATCTTAAAGCTGTCAAGTTTGAAGACCCCTGTTGTAGGCAATAACAAGACATTTTACCATATAATGAAAGTTCCTTAATTCATCTCCCTTTGCATTGGCTTCTTGAGAGAGACACACAGAGATAACATGGTCTGTAACAAACATGGTTTCTATTATTCCTTTTGTAATGCCTTATCCCAATCCACGTGCAATATAAGGTGCCACTCTGGATACAGTGGCTTGCAGTATGCTCCATAAATAATATTTTTTTAAAGATAAATTCCCGAACAGAATTTTCACACAAGATCTAGACATTGAGCGTCTTTTTCACAGCAACTATTATGTCCTTTACTTGGGGTATGCAGTTTTCCTCCAAGATCTTTGCATAAGGCATTGGCACATCGGCACCTGTGACACGAACCACGGGTGCATCCAGATGATTGAAAGCAGGACCTGAAATCAGAAGAATGGGTTGAAATTCATCCTTCAAGTTTAAGCTGGATATTTTCAGCCAGTTGCCTGGTATGTCTAAGAAACTGCTTGTGAAAGTTTATAGAACCAAGAATCTGCACCCTCAAATTTAAACTATCATTTACCTCAGAAAACAAGAGGATAGAAAGAGGTACTGTGGCCACTAGAACAGAGTTAATGGGGGGGGGGAACTAAAGTCATTTATTTAGGTTGAAGATATGTCAAATAGGGGTTTGTAAGTTTGAAAGTTCTATTATCCATTCAGATTTTATTTTATCCCTTTATTATTTTTATAAATAAGGCAGCAAACATATCTAATACTCCTTCCTCCAATTTTCCCCACAACAACCACCCTATGAGGTGTGAGGGGCTGAGAGTGAGTGATTGGTCCAAAGGCACCCAGCTGGTTTTCATACCTAAATGGGACTAGAACTCACAAGTCTCCAGGTCATTGGCCTAAAGTCACCCAGCCAACTTTCAACCTAAGGCCAGTCTAGAACTCAAGTCTCCGGGGTTCTAGCCTGGTGCTTAACCACTTGACATAACTGGCTCTTTTTAGTATATGGGTGCATATACTTGACCTTCATTGAAAAACTGCTCTTGTAGATTGGATGGCCTTTGCAGTCTAAAGAGAAACTCACTCTAATGAAAGATGAGGGCAACTGAACTTTCATTGGAAGCTTCAAAGAAGAGAGCCCCAACGTCCTGATGTTAAGAACAACCATCATAAGCATGACTCTTCAAATACCTTCCATAATTCTGGCACAGATTTCAGCTCCCACCCCAAACTGGGGCCAGCCACCTTCTACCGTTACAAAATTATTGGTCTTCATGATGCTAGTTTCAATAGTTTCAATATCCAACGGCCGAATACTACGAAGGTTTATAACCTATGAGAAAGATTTAAGAAATTGACCAGTTGTCAGTTCCATTATAGTCTGGAAAATAAATTAAGCTCATAACTTTTTCTCAGTAAATAGAGAAAATTCACAGAATGGCACAGTTCCACACTTGTGCACCACACTTGTGTACCTTTTTTTTTTTTTTTACTTTGGGAAATCTTGGAAATTATTTAGCCATGGTAGATAACTGTTCTCCTTCTAAGTATCTACCTTGACTAGTTGTTAATGTTACCTGCAAATATGTGAATGATGGGAGATTTTCATCAAAGCTGGTTTCTAAGGCTGCTGCTGTTAGTAGGAACCAGCAGAACTCTTTAACACATTTGAAAAGTAGGAAACAAGTTTTGAAGTTATATTTTTCATGAATTGTATCCCAACAAAATCATTTGTACCTCACATTCCACTCCATCTTTGGCAAGGACAGCAGCTGCTTCGAGACAGTGGCCAACAGATCTTGAGTGAGCCGCTAAGGTTATATGGGTTCCTGAAACACAAAATTGGTGACTGAGAGTTGTAACGTGGGCAGAGATCTGTTCTAAATTCAAATTTTTTAAAGAAGAATTATCCAATAGTCACCATCACGTCAACTTTTAAAACCTTGAAGTTGAACTTATCTCAAAAATGTATAATGTTTTTGGCTTCCGGTTTGAAGGGCTTCGGCGACAGACAGAAATCCGTGATCGTGCGCGGTTTCTGTCGGCTCGCCGCTGGAGCGCCCCGAGCCAGCTGGTTTCAGGGCTAAGCCACCCCGTAGAGGTGGTGAAGAGGGGGGAGACCGCCAGCAGGGTTGAGGAGAGACGCATCTCTCCTCCTCAGCTGGCCATTACTCCCTTTCCCGAAGGCGGTTGCAGCGGTGGTCAGAAATGGCCACCACAAAGAACTCGACCGGAAAAGAACGTGCAGGAGGAAGATAAGAAGTGAAAGTTTTGGCTGACCGGGTTAAATTGTAAAAGCAACAACCAAGGTACCCTGGAATTTAAACTTACAAAAAATAACATCGCTCCCAAAGAAGAGTCGGAAGCAGCGAAGGAAAGTGAAAAGGGAAAGGTTTGGCTTTTTTTTTATTTCTCTCTCCTTCCCTATACTGACAACTAAGAGACTTAAATAAGAAATCGGAAAAATCCACTTTGGCATCAATAGGCAATTAAGCTGAAAATAAAACAAAATGCCAAAGGGATAATAAAGATTTCTGGACATTAAAAACTTTCTTTTTCATAAGCAGGAAGGGAGAGAAAAAGAATAAGGGCAGGATCTGGAAGAGGGAAGAGACTGCCTGGAATTAAAAAGAATCTAAAATAAAACTTCAACAAGACTTCTAAAAGATACATTTTAACTGAAACTTTGCAACTAAATAGTAACCCCAGGAAGAGAAAGTGAAAAAAAGAGCAAAAAGAAACAGCTTGCGTGCATTTGGATTACTTGGTGATCTTTGAATTTTTGGTTATTATATTTGAATGACTAAAATCAATCGGGTGGTTGTTTAAAAAATTATACAATGGCACCACTTCTGAATGTACTTTTTAAGTTCCATTTTCAATTCAAAGAAGATGCACAAGAAGGGCAGGGTTCTTTTGGCTTCGTTTTTCAATTCTTAGAAATGGAGATTTGGAACTATGAGAAACAAGA